TATATGTATATATAAGTCTGCAAAAAAAACAAAGGGAGATAGTGTTAATTATATATACAAATGAGTTATGTTATTATTTAGTTTCACCCCGAACGCCGTCGTCCGTGTGGCTCAATGGAAGAGCATCTGACTACGGATCAGAGGGTTGCAGGTTCGAGTCCTGTCACGGATGTTTTCGCATAATTCCCACCACTCATTTCTCACGGGGAAATGTGAGAGTTTTTATTTTGAAAAAAAAAGAAAAGAGGGATATGGTCTCACATCGCTATTGGCTGGGGAAAGATACAACCCACATACTCTATCATTCCCCCTCTGGTGTAGTCTTCTAATGTAATGCCAACTGGACTACAACAACAGCAGTCCCGCTATTCACAAAAATAAACCAACAGACCCGGCCATCCTGCAGAGAATGAGGAGCAGCACAACAATACGCCTGCAGGAACACTCTACCTACAGCAAAAAAAAAAAAATGAATTCACTACTCACCTCAGATATATTCACAATATTAAATGCCTAGTCCCAGAGAGAAGGAATATCAGGCATTTCCCTATAATAAATGTGAGATGATGACGCGATCTAAAATAGGCCTCAAAACTCATATTAGAGCGAATAACATCTTGAGTACCCCCCCAGAAAAAAAGAAAAAAAAACAAAGGGATAATTTCTTCTTCTACAATGTCACTCATCAGTTAGTAATTAATAGTCCTCTCTACCAGTGGTGGGGTGAGAAATGAACTATTTTTTTTTTTTTTGGAGTATTATCCATAAAAGCATGAAGAATAAATCATTCGTCTATGATCATCATCGTCGTCGTCGTCGTCCGTGTGGCTCAATGGAAGAGCATCTGACTACGGATCAGAGGGTTGCAGGTTCGAGTCCTGTCACGGATGTTTTTCTCAGAAAATAAAAAAAATATTCCATTTTTTATTTGTTATGGATATTTTTTGGTCTACTGAGTTATATTCACCGATATGTTCATGATTTCATTCAGTCTCTCAAATGCATGGCGTTATCTGTTATTATTATTATTATTTTGTTTCTTTTTTACTTTCCTCCTTTCTATGAAAAAGAATTTGTGTAAGAGATGGAACTATTTCCCTAATGTTTGATACATGTTGTTATCATATATCCAAAGTCATGTGGAAATAAATGTTTTTTTTTTTTTGATTATTAAAGGGTTTTTGTTTTCTTTGGTCTTTGTTGTATTTTAAATCCTCTTGCTACTATTACTATTGCTACTACACATTACTATACTCCTCTCTGTTATTTATTTATTTATTTATTTATTTATTAATGGGTACATCAAGTCGCTGTCTTGTATTTCACACACACACTGCTAGATACCGAGAGAAGAAAAACTGCTAGATACCGAGAGAAGAAAACACGTGAGGGGAAAACATTCTTAGCAGAGTGTCCACAATATGCAAGACATTCCTGCACCGCGAACAGGTGCGATGACACGAGAAGAAATTAACGCCGTTCGCCGAGAAAAGGAATTTGACTATAAAACACGTAAACAGTTGGAGGCTCGCTACGGTGTAGGCTCAACAAGAAGTGGTGGAAATAAACGACTCACGCGTGCCAAGGCATGGCGTTGCAGTGTCTGTGGACAGATGAGTGTAGACGCCCGACACGTTTGTGGCTCTTGTCTCGCCGTAGAACCTGGAGTTGTGGGAATCACACCTGGAAATAATAGTAAGAATCGTCAGAAGAGTACAAGCAATCGTAATGACTCTCTCTTGCGGTATACAGCGAAGGAGACTGGTGTATCAGAGGATCCAATGATGGGGATTCTCTCACTCGCACATGGTCGTTCATACCGTATTGCCACACCTGCAGCGGCAGCGGCAGTTGTACTGCGGGCTTCATCCACTAAGGGAAAAACACCAGCAGAGAGAAATACACTCATTGATACAGATGAGTACGATGAAGAAGAAGAAGAATTACTAGTGCCAGCACCAACAACATCAACAAAAGAAGAAGAAGAAGAAAGGAAGGCGGAAGTGGTTGTAAGAAACAGCGAGGTACGTCCTCGACATACAGTTCCCTATACACATTTCATTTCACTTCCTATTGGAAAGTTACCTGCTGTTCGCCCACACGCAGCAGCATTATTGGAAGAAATGAAGCGTCGCTGCATTAATACAGGAACAAACACAATGGTTACAGAAGATATTTTTACTACAGCACCGCGTATGCATATTACGTTATTGTTACTATCTCTCACAACAGAGGAGGCAGTGAAGTTGGCAGTGGAACGGATGCAAATACTACAAGAAAAGGTACGTGAGTGGAAAATATCTACTCAACAAAATAAACGACCGCAAGTACGCCTTGGTGGTCTTCATGTAATGAAAGGGCGAGGACGGAATGAGAAGAAAGCCGAAGTGTTGTACATGGGACTTGCTGATGACGAATCAACAGCTATAGTCTCATCACTGCAGAAAATTGTTCATGAATGTTTTGCAGAACTCACTATGAGTGATCCTAGTGCAGTGGAGGATAGTAAACTATTGCATATGACTCTTATGAACACTAAATGGCGAAAGGATAACTCCACAAATAGTAATTCTAAGGCAAAGATGAAATGGCAGCCGCGTGTACCTTTCGATGCCTCATATATTCTGCAAGAGTTTGCAGATGCATCACTTCATAGTGATGGTGATAGTCGTACTGCAGAAGGCAGTGGTAACGGTATTACATTGGAGTGTGTGGAATTGAGCTCTATTAAGTATGACCCTGATCGTGAGTGTTACCCCTCCGAATATGTTGTTGCCTTGTAGATACGGTGTCTTTTTGTTGTTGTTGTTGTTGTTGGTATTCTTCTTGCTTTAGTGCGTGATTCGATGACTAATTCCTTTTTTTCTACACATTTTTTTTTTTTCCTTGGCTTGCGCTATCACTAGCATTACTACTTTTTTCTTCCTGATTCTATTACATCCTTTTTGCTCTTTATCGCTTATTTTTTTCATACTTGATTTCTTTCTTCTTTTTTTCTTCCTTGTAGGCCAGTGACGTAACAGCAAAGAATGCTGCTTTTACGTTTAACTCATATTAGTAACAAGGTGCCTGGTAGTGACGCTCCCTCATGTAATATTTCACTGCTTTTCTTTTATCTCGCTTTTCGTTTTTTTTTTTTTTATCCTCCCCATAAGCGAAACTTCCATTTGATCTAGAGGAGAAAAGGCAGATAGCGGTCAGAGATGTGAATGCATGAGTGAGTTTGTAAGGGGGCAGACTGGAAACATCCTCCAAGGCTCATACACATATATATACATATACAGAGACATGGGCAATTTCCTGGAGGTGACCCCATGAAATCGAGTTCTCCTCTCTTCAAAGTATCTCTTCCTTTCTTAACAAACATTCCCCTTTTTGGGTGGTACATGATCGTTTCGTGTCTTTCCTGCCGAAATTATTCTGAGTGGCAGTGTGAAGGCAGATAGCGGTCAGAGATATGAATACATGGGTGGGTTTATAAAGGGGCACACTGGAGACATCCTCCAAGGCTCATACACATATATATACATATACAGAGACATGGGCAATTTCCTGGAGGTGACCCCATGAAATCGAGTTCTCCTCTCTTCAAAGTATCTCTTCCTTTCTTAACAAACATTCCCCTTATTGGGTGGTACATGATCGTTTCGTGTCTTTCCTGCCGAAATTATTCTGAGTGGCAGTGTGAAGGCAGATAGCGGTCAGAGATATAACTGTTTCAAAATTTCACCCATCGTTCACTGTTTTTTTCTTAACCAACTGTCGATAAAGATTCTATATGTATACATGGTGTTGCTCAAGAGTTTTCTCTCGCACTCTTTTCTTTTCCCTTCTATGTGTCTATCTATCTCGCTCTCTCTCTCTCTCTAGCTCTCCGACTGTTCACATCGAGTAGCGAATTACCACTGGACATGAGTGGAATACATAGGCGAAAACATGTGGCCCCGCTAGATACGGTGGAGATGGCACTGCAGCGTCGCTTGCTGGGTAGTAATGGTGCTGCTGTTGTTGTACGCGTGATTCGTCGCCGCAGTGATCTTCACCCGCAGACATCACCACTCTGGCAGCAAACAGACACCATTGCACCGTCACCAAAACTAAATAGGAAGAAAAGTGCTCGAAAGCAACGTGTAATATGTGCCGCATGTCGTCTTAGTAAATTAGAATGGCCGTACTGTGGCATCTCAGGAGACCCACATGTTTCGGAGGAAGCGATCTCGTGATACTTAAGCGTGAACTATATCAAAGAAAATAAAAACCATAAAAGTGCATCACAATATAAAAACTTGATGGAAACAATTGATATCTATGGTTTCGGATCACAATATTATCTTTTTTCACTCGTATCTTCTAAACATTCTACAGACAAAAGGTTAATGCTGATTAGGGAAAACAGTTAATAAAACCTGCTTTCTATTACCACAATTTCGGCTAAAAATTCCATTTGATAAGCAGCATCAACGAAAAGAAACTACCAGACAAAGGTAAGACACAATACATGAATGTCCTTCTTTGTGCAGTGGTTGGCGGTTACAATGTCTCTGGTCCTCCCCGTGCTTCTTCCAGGGAGTGTGGAGGCCACTAAAAGCCCACCATTTCTCTGTGTTCTTCCTGTCGGTGACTCCATTACACAGGGAATCCGGAGAGTGGGCTCGTACCGAACTCATCTGAATGATCTACTTCTCGCAGAAGCCAATAAGACCAATGCTTTTATTGCTGGTCATGGTTTTATGGGTTTTGAGAGTGAGCACTGTCACGCTTCGAGGCGCACAACTCGTACCATTAGCAGGTACATTTCACGCACGGGTGGTTCACAAGCCCTTGGCCGAATCTCAGCGTTTAAAATGCCCCACCAAGGGCACTGTGGGTGGACATCCA